ACAGCTGTGCAAAGAAGAATGTTTGGAATCCACATTCCCAACACGATGGTCAGCGTCGAACGGTAGCGAAGGACGGTTTCGTCGAAAGCAGAAGGAAGAAACTACAGGAGATCACTGCTCGGTCAAAGCACATAACTCAGCTTACCGACGGGAGGAGCTCGGTGTTGATTGTTGACTGGTACTCTAGCGGCAGAAATAAGCCGTTTGGTCGATCACTATGATGATGGAAAGGTTGTATCAGGAGCCGGAAAGGTCGCCTTGGATGGAAAGGGCTCGAAACTGCGAGGAATGACGGGTTTGTTGCGACCTGCGCAATTCTTCGCCGATTACCAGTCCAGTTCAAGAATGGATCCAGGTTTGAACCATGGTAAGACGGCTCTGTCCTTGAGAACTGTTGATAAGACGAAAGGAGTACAGCTAGTTTTGCATTCATAATTGTTCATAAAAACGGCTGAAAATATTTCGCATTTAACTGCGGCGTGAAGCAGTTCCTTTTAGACAAACAGCAGCTTTGGAAAGTGATTAACATAAGAAAGTAAATCATATTTTGTTCCAGTAACAATTACTGGTCCCTCTATTCCATCTGAAATCTGGAAGAAGTAAATCTCATTGTTATTTCATTTTTAAATTTGAAGACTGGTCTAGCATAAAGGCGGTAGCTCGCTTGAACTCAACAAGAAGAACTCACAAGAAAAAGCTCACACAAGATGAATCAAATGCAAATAAACCGTAGTAAACCGACGCCTAGCCATGATCAAAAATGGAAAAGAGCCAGTAGTTCAGTCGGCTGCAACATGTTTAGCAAAACCAGTGGCTTCAGGACCCCCCTCCCCCATAATTCAGTTTTTTTGAGTCAAGAACGCCAAGCGGTTTCAAGGAAATGCTTTCATTCAACTATCTGATTAGTGTGCATGCGTAGAAAAAAGACTTTCGCATTTCTGGTTTATGAAGTTTCAGAAGACATTTCTTCATATCACGATCTGTGCAGACAGCTGAGTGAACTCGTTCAGTATGAACGAAGTTCTCATGAATTTCTGGAGTAGCGCTGGGTAACAGCCAACTACATTATCCAAACACGCACCTGGTTGTTCCAAAAATCTCAAGTTTTGCAGCCGTTAAATTATTTTGAAACAGTGCACTTAACCAATGAATTCACAGCATAATTAATACCTCGCTATGATTTTGCTTCAAGTCTGCTAACAGCACAAGCTGGCTTGAAAGATTTGAAATACCATCGTTAAGTCTGAATTCTCACTTTAACTAAGTTAGCTGTAGGTGTAGGTCTAATCGTT